CAGTACCACTCATCAAATTTCAATGAAATTTGGTACATTGGTTCTTTTGGGTAGTCCACAGATCTGATTCTTTCAGGGTTGAAATCCATTTATAAATGTGTAATCACCTTGTATGAATGGATTCATGTAACTTCATTAATATGCACAAGTATAATTTCTCAAGTACTAGAGCTATAATGGAGGCACTTGACAAGAGACTAAAATATCAAATGACTATATACGGTCATGTTACCTAATTAATATGCATAACTATAATATATTAAGCACTGCTGCAGATAAAATAAAGGCATTTGAGATGTGACTAATGTACCACTTGTTCATGTTTGTGCATGTGACCTCATTAATATGCATAACAGTAATACAGTGACATCTCGCTAAGTTGCAGGTGTCATGATCCAAGCAAAAACAGTGACTTATTGGAGTCGCAACTTACCAAGTGGTCTCGTGAAAGGGGGGGTTCATGCATTGAGAAAAAACACATACGTTTTCGTCAGATTCTACAAATTTTCTTCATTCTTTACAAACCCATGAATAGTGGACTCATCGACTGCTAGATCACATGCAACCCTTGATTTGGTTTTTTACGTACAGACAGACTGAGCTTTCGCTTAGACATTCTGTTCAGTTGATAACTCGAAATCAGAGAGTGATGGATTTAACTCACTGTAGCAAGCTATGTAGAGCTATATCAAAAGGGAACCAGCCGAGAAGTTCGTAAAATCACAACTTGACCCCCTGTCGACATCTCGGGCCGCCATCAGCCTTTTTATCTGAGGAATTGACATATAGTAGGTGTTAAGTGCAATGAAACATTTGTTCTCTTTACTTCGAAACTGTCAGCAAAACACAATAGAAATTTTTGGGAGCCGTCCTTGGAAACTATTTGGGTACTATCCTTGACTTAGCCGAAATTGTGACTTACTAATGCGCGACTTAGCGAGGAGGCACTGTACGTCGGATAGAGGAAAGTTCTGAGGTTACAATAAAACATACATGATTTTGCATGCAATAAACACAATTATTACAAATAACTTTATTTGAATTGGAGAATGATGTGCTTCATATAGTAAATATATTATTCCTTATTTGTACTTCATGCCTCCAACACCCTTAGCACGCAGAAGTTCTTTCTCAGCTTTCTTTGATTAATTAATTGATTAGGCTTAAAACAAGATTTGTTTTTGCTTATGAGTTGTTAAAAAAAAATGTTCAGTGAGCGCCTTTTTTTTGGTGCAATTTGTTGATGTATCTTTACAATATATTTCCAAAAATCAGAAAAAAAAGGGTTGTGAGTGGCTCTTTTTAAACTGAAGCACTCATTGACCAGAAACAATATACTGGTAAACATTTTTTTGCATAATATAAAACCATGAATTCTCTTTTATGAAGAACATCTTTCCTTTTCCATTTCAGCTGCCATACTATGAGATAGACAAATTAGACGATATAGAGCAGTTAACAGAGTATGTGAAGGCAAAGATATTTACACCAAAAACAGCAGACTGAACCAGGCTATAGTAATGACTAGGCAGAGGTATGTGTATAAATCTACTTTTCATTCATATATCACAGAGATGCACATATATAACCATGTAGTGCCCATCTATATATAGACATACATGTAGTGTACATCCAGTCATGCCCATATATAGACATATATGTAGTGTATGTCCATATATAGACATACATGTAGTGTACATCCAGTCATGCCCATATATAGACATCTATGTAGTGTATGTCCATATATAGACATACATGTAGTGTACATCCAGTCATGCCCATATATAGACATATATGTAGTGTATGTCCATATATAGACATACATGTAGTGTACATCCAGACATGCCCATATATAGACATATATGTAGTGTATGTCCATATATATATATATATACAGTAGAACGTCGATTATCCGTACTGTTAGGGGGACATGCTTTTGTTCAGTTATGCAAACAGTTATGATATGCGATCTTGTGTGGGCGTGCTCAAATTTACAGGCTCACGTACACACAAATTCTAACGCACTTGACTGTAATGAAATCAAACAATAGTACATGTAGAGTACGTCATTATAACATTTTTATTTAATTAGTAATAC